TAAGCCTTTGGCTGAGAGTGAATACAGCTTTGTGGTTCCCCTGCTTCTGACATGATTTGGTGCTGCCATATATTTGTAGTGGGTTTTTTTTGTTTTTTTTTTTTTTCATTAGAGCTTGTTTTGCTATAGGACTGCTTAACACTCTTCTCAAACGGCTTTTGCAAGGTTAAAGGAATACAGCTTGGTAACAAGTTTGTGTCATTTTAAATATATACCTCTCAGTAAATAAGGAGGAGCCTTGCAATCAATCCCTTTTAGTGTGTTATATGTTTCACCTGACAACTAAACCCTCTATTGATTAACCATTACTTTGTTAGATAATCTCGTGTCATTGAAGCCACTGTAAAAATTAAACTCTTTAAAATGTTTTACCCTAGCAGCAGTACGAAAATTGAAAACTTGTTCAGAATTACAGCCAGCTTCCACAAAGAAGGTAGTTTTCAACAAACTGCTTTATGTTTGCATGCTTTATATGCAATATAAAAACATATTAAAGCACTCCAACGCAAAGCTATCTGCCTGTGGCGTTGAACCAGGCTACCATTTCAGACTGCTTCTCCTTGGTGAAGAAACCTCTAATCTTGATGAAAGGTGAGGAGAAACTTGAACAGTTTTGGTGCAAATTAGATGAGATTCGTAAAAGGATTGAGCTTTAAAGGTGAGCGTGGGAAATTTCCTTTTCCGAGGCTTCGTTCTGGTTTTGATTTTCTTGGATTTCTTCTAGGTTAGTCAGTGTTCCCACAGGCATTGCAGTGAGTGAAAGGAGCATGAGGCACCATCAAATGTTTCACTTAAAATGTAGGGCTCTGCATTATTACTTGAGGATATGACATTCATTCTGCTTTCAGTTAGGTCTGTTCACTAGTAACTCTTAGTGTATGAACACAAATATAACCAGACCAGATGAAATCAGATTTCCGCGTCCAGCAGTAATCTTGTGTCTCACAATAGCCAGTGACTGCTGCCTACAAAGGAACACTGGAAGAGGGCAGCCATACAGTACTACCTTCACAATATATTTTCCCAGCTTCTCATGCCTTCACAAGCCAGATGCAGCTTCTTTGCAACATTATCAGTACGTTTCCGTTGAGACCTATTAAGTAGAGTGACATTACATTTTTTTTTCCCCCGGGACTTTAAGGGAGAACTAGGCTTTCGTCTGCTTTTTTGCTTGAAACCTTTTTAAGTGTATAATAGAACATGCACATGAATCTTCTTTACCCTTTTTATTCATCCCACAAGGCTAATAATGCATTCTTCTGTGAGAATGTGAAAATAAGAACAGAAGAACTTTGTAACTTTGCAAACATAGTAATGGACATTGAACTAAAGATGAGTGTTTTATTCTCAAATCTATATCCTGATGGGTTGAATCCATCCTACCTACTCCATTTAATTTTCTCTATTCCCACTACTTTTATTGACAAACAAAGAGCTACTGAAGGACTAAATGGCTGTCTGGTAGGCACTTACACAGTGATTTTATTATGTAAAGATCTATGTAAAAGTTGATTCTCACAGTAAAAGTATGTTCTTGTCTCCCTTCTGTGGCTGAAAAGGTTGGGAAAGAGGAATTTGAGTATCATTGCCATGTTGTCAAAGGGCAGAGAGGTATTAATAGCACGGGAATGCCCAGGTCAGTCAGACCCAGAGTCTGCCCATCCAGTGCTGACTCCAGTGGAAGATGCTGTCGAATGAGAGCAAATGGGTCTGGTCACTCTGTGCTCCATTCCGCTCCTGCAGCATCTACTGCCATTGCACTTGGGATGTCTGGGGGATATCTCTGTCAAGTACTCTATGGACCTGCTGTCCCTGAGTTTGGTTAACCCCTTTTTCCACTTGCTGATGTTGTTTCTCTCTATGGTGTCCTGGGGCAGCAAGCTCCAGAAGTTCACTGCCTGCTGTATGAAGATGTGTTTCTTTTTATCTGCTTTAAATTTATACTATACAAGTTCTGTCAAGTGTCACTAGTCTTGGTGTTGTGGGATTTGATGAACAAGTTACGCTGGAAGTTCAGTTGGTGTAGTTCACACTGAGATGTAAAGTGTGGATGAAAATAATAAAAATTAAGCAATACATTGGAATAATTATTTGTATCTACATTCTGACATGCACGCAACTTTTGAATAGTGGCGTAGTGAGCTTGCTTCCTTCTCAGAAAGTTCTAGGGTTTTTAGATTTAGCATTTAGTATTTCACATTGTGTATTTGGATTGTCTGCTCTTTCCCATTTGTAAATGTGAGAGAAAGCTTGTTGTTAGCTCACCTTTTAAAAAGCTGTCTTGCTACCCAGGTTTGTGCATACCTGTCTTGGGAGGAAAAAGACTGACAAGATCTGAGTTTGGTTCATGGTTCAGTTCATGGAGCCACAGGCTTCCTTGTTGCTTTTAGTAAATGTTTTTGTGACTGAGCTTTTCATCTGCAAAGTAGAGTTAGTAGTAGCTTTCTTTGAGTCAGGGCTCCTCATAAAATTTACAGTATGTGGCAGATAAGTTGTGCAGAAATACTGCTACTGGAATTTTAGGAATTAAATTGCAACTGAAAGAAATTGCAGATTTGTGATAAATGGGTTAAATTACAGAAATGTAAATACTGAACAAAGAATTCTGTCAACTCTTCATGGCTTTTCACCTTCAGAATCTGTTTGATTTTAACTAACATGATGCTTATAAAATGAAGTTTTCATGGTATTGTCTGAATGTTAGTGCAAAGCAGATGATGTCAACTTTCTGTCCGCCACTTGGGCCGCTACATCTAAGCCACAATTTATAATAGTTTATGCCATTCTGATCTTTCTTCTGAGGAGAAAGTTCTGTGCATACCAGAGTGATGGTTTTATGATGTTGGCAAATATTTGCAAGAAGCTAAGTTGAGTCCATCAGACTTCTGTTTGCTTGTAGCCTAATCCCAGTTTGAATGTCAACCTCCTCTTGTTGAAAGATGCACTCTGTTCATTGCACGGCACTTTGAAAGGATTTGTGTGTTTGAATTTTTCAGTTCCTCCTTCTGGATCCAGAGTCAGAAATTGCTAGCTGGCTGCTAGTTGTAGCAGATATCGATGTTATGACTTGTAAGGAGATCTGCTGGAGCCAGGATATTCTGCATTCCTGTCTGTCACTGGTTGTTTTCTGGTTAGAGAGCTCACTGAGAAATAAAACATGAACTGCTAAAGCGATGGAGAAGATAGGGCTTCTGTGCTCCGTTTTGTTTCTGTTTCACGGTGAACTTTTAAAGGGGGTCTGTAAAGAAGTAAGATGGAAAGGGCTGTGATTTCCTGAATTTCCCCAAGAGTGTCTGTACTGTGCTGGACCAGTACAGATCCACCTGAGCCAGTATACTGATTTCCCATGCTGGGCAGTAAGGAGTGCTTAATGAGGCTCATAAAAACTTGAGTGAACAATGCCATAACCTAATTGTAAACACCCAGTTCCCATCAGTTGGTGCTTACCATCCTCCTGAGCTGGAGTCTGTTATGAACACGGGGTTTGTGGACATATCTCCTGTCGCTTGGCATAACCCCCTTTTAATCTCTTTGCATTCTTGCCTCTGATGTCCTTTGCAATACGTCCCTCTGCTGGTTTCTGCGTTGCCACTGACTACATCTTGTGCAGAGTCAGGCCTGTGGCAGAGGGGCAAAAAGGCGAGATCATTTGTTGGTGCTTGGTGTTGAGTCTGCAGTCTGGCTCTGCTGATGTAGCCTTGGAGTGGAGGGAGAGGTTCAGGAGCCCTTAGCACACCCGTGTTGCCTGCGGGTTTTGTAACCCGTAGCAGGTTTGGGGTCGACTTAGTTTCAAACCAAACAAATAGAAATCTGTAGCAAGCCCTGAAAGAAGGATCTTCAGAGATTGTCAGCAAATATTACAGGGAGAGAACTGACAGGCAGTTCACCACAAATCTTTGTGCATCCTCCCCTTAAGGCAATCTTAAAAATATCGTGAATGTTAGTATGTTTTACTTAGTGCTCTTGGAAATGTCTTTGTAGCAAGTTTAATTTCATTCTCTGTCAACGTTCTTCTTGGGTTTTCCCCACGCAACTATTGAGGGAGCAACATCTTCTCTATGGTCCACTTACTTCTCTTGCAACAAAGGAAGTTTGTGTTTGCTTTTGGGCTGCCACTTTTGCTTGGGAGCGGTTTTCTGTAAATGGTGACCCACGCTGGGGTTTTCATCCAATACTGGAGCTGTTAGGTGCTACTATGCTCCTACTACTACTAGAAAATGTGAGCTTAATCAAGTGGTAATTAAAAAGGTGTTGAAAGTAGGGGGGGGAGCCTCCGTTAGAAACTCTGGAGTTCTTCAGGCATATTAGTTTAAATAGCCAAATCAACCAAAGTATAATTTTAAGCACACTTCATAAGTACTGTTCGTATGCTGCTCTTAAAAAAGGGAGGGACTACAAGTAATGTGTTCTGCAAAGACTCCAAAGTCTGCAGCCTCAGCTGAGGGTCCCTTGGGCAGAACAGTGTATGAGTTAAAGAAAAAAGACATTCTACTTTAAAAGAAAAAGCTTTCCAAAATTGGGAAGATGAAATACAACAAGTGAGATGTGGTCTGCATTTGCTCACTTCTGATTATAACCCTCATACTGTGCCTATGTATTTTTATCTGATGAAGATTGGATGTTTATTAACGTTTGACATACACTGTGATAACTAGTGTGTAGAAATCACCTTCCTTTAGTTGTTCAGTTATGCAGCATTTTGTTGAATGACCAAATAACTGAGATCGGGTGGGGTTTTTTTTCCCTTTTTCAAAGGAAAAGAGGAGAAAAATATTTTTTTCCTTTGTGTCTCAGAACTATAAAATTGTACGTAGCTTCTCAGAGGACATGCATGCCCTCGACACAGGCTTTTGCTGTAAACTAGTTTATTTTCATCTGAAACATTTACACCTTAGGAAAAAGGAAATGTAGTAGAGTTGTTGTGGATTCCTGTGCCAAAAACGTGGTGCCTGAAAGAAAATTGTGTTCTTCTATTCATAACCATTTTCATCTTTCTGCAGACCTACAACAGCTGTGCCAGACTGTGCTTAAACCAGGAAACGGTATGTCTAGGAAGCACTGCTATGAAGACTGAAAATTGTGTGGCCAAAGTAAGTAAAAGTTTGGCTTTGGTTTTGAGGGGGTTTTAGCAGACTGTTCATTGTTAATCAAAGAAGAGTTCTTGTTAAAAATGACAGTTAGAAAAAAATATTTAAACAGAAAGTAAGTATTTTGGGCATGCTTTTCTGTCCTTCAGATCAGAGTTTTCAGACTTGCCATTTTTCTCTGTTGGAAATGATTACTTGAGTCCTGAGCTATCTAGAATTGAAGGGTTCATTCTGCTGTACAAGTAATAGGCTTTTCCAGTGGGATGACCTATGCCTGCCATGTAATTAGCTGTGGCAACTTCAAATGATAAATATCCAGATATATGCTAAAAATACAGCATGAAAGCTCTTTGTATCATGGTTCCCTTTCTTAGCTACCAGAGGGGAGGTGCACAAAGAAAGATACACAATTAAAATACAGTGAAGGATATATTTAAGGGAAAGGGAAAAGGGAGATATTAGCCTGTCAGAGAAAAGTCATTCCTTGAGAGTTATAGTAGACGTGATTGGAAAAGATGAGGTGCCATTAGCCACCCTCTTTTCTTAAAATTCAGCATAACTAGAGTAAAACGGCATACATGTAAGGCTGTTTGTGAATGGAAAACATTTGAACCGTGGTGCAATATGTATAGAAAGGCTGAGCGAAGGATGCGTTTAGCCTTGTGCAAGCTTCGTATTTCCACTGAGAGGAAGTTTAAAATGGGCATGCAAGACAGATCAGTGCACGCAGCCATCTGTTACTGAAACCAGCTGGCATTTTGTTGCTCCTCTGTCACCACAAACCTGACCACTCAAAAGCCTGTTTTCTCGTTTGGTCATTTATTCCTTGATCTTCTTGAAGTCCCTTTTGTTTCATATTTTGAATGATTGTTAAAGGTGCCTTGTCCCTTCGGGGCCCACTTTTATATTGACCTTTAAAGATAATTTCCCAGCTAAATCTTTGCTGGGGTTTTTCTGGTGAAATTTAGATGTCCCATTGCTTTTGTTTCCTGACAGGGAATTTGCCATCATAAAAGTTTGTCATAGCGCTTGCAGGTGGCTTAGCGCTCCTAAACTGTGCTTGACATGCCAGGTTACCTTCCAGTGGAGAAGCACTTCTAAGAGAAGCTACCAGTCTTGCTACAAAGTGCTAATATTTAATAGTGACACCTCCATTCTTAGCTTAAGACAACTGGTATCGCACACTGCTTCCTAAGGCACTTTATGATACAAAGTAGGTGAAGCTCTGAGAAAAGCACCAGAGCAGCTCTGACTGAATTGTATTGGCGTACCGCGTCATTCTGATGCCATGAAGCAGCTCACAGCAAGCGAGCTAGAGTAAACCCATTCAACCCCGTCTCCTTTATAGCATCTTGTTTGATCATCTTACTAAGGAGCAAGGATGTGCAGGAGCTAATTCATGTGATGCCTCTTTTAACTGAAATGACATACCTTTAACATCTTAATGCCCCAAATAATAAACTCTCCTAAAAATGTGTTTCATTGGGATCATGGTAAGAGGTATAAGTAGGGCTCAAGACAGGAACAGCAAGACTTGTTTTATGGTATTGAGGATGAATTTGAACCATCATGCTGGATCTGAAAAAGCATATGTTTTAAAGTGTTGAGTCTCTATGTGCTATAGGACAATCTGCCATCACACACACACATACATATGAAAAACATATATACATACACATGCATATATGTTGGTTTTTTTTTTATATATATGGAAAAAAATACAGACTTTTCTGGGGATACAGTTCCTCTAGTATTGGCTGTTGTACTCTGTTCCTTTCCCTTCCCCGCTACAAACCAAAATGAAATATGTTCTAAGAAAGCTTGTCTTTCAAATTCCAGAAGTGTTGAAGCATTTATAAATCCAGTTAGCTAAATGCAGATGACTCAGTGATGGCACAGGCAAATGGCACAACTGTTAAATGTTCCCTAGGTGAAGGGCTTAAATGGGATTTAAGGAGTTCAGAGGCCTTCTCCTAGCCTTATGCATGTGGCAAGTTTTATCCTCCATGATTGATGTGTCTTACAGCCTTGGACTTTAAAATGTTTTGTCAAGAGGGTGAAGACTGGAAATTATAACTGTCGCTTTCTTTATCTGCAGCACTTTTGGAAAAGAGGTCTCAATGTTTTTTAAACTGACATTGAAAGACAAAAAAGGATTACTTTGGAAATCATGATTTACTTTTTCTGATTCTGCAATGCAGTATCATCCCTGACTGGGAGCTGCAGTAAGTGTTGTCACATGCATGTCAGAAGTGTCAGTCGGTCTGCAAGGGACGATGTTTTTTCCAAGTTTTCCAAAAGAATTCTGCACCTACTTGCAAAAAAGAAAATTGTGCTCTGTTAAGACCATATTAATGCCATTTGCTGATCGTGTGCTTGATGTTTCTAAAGTTTGTTCAAAGACTGACGTGGTTTTCCTTGAGGCCACACACATCAATATTTAGATACCTTTTTTCAGACTGAAGTACTGTCCATCCATCATGCTCTCTTGTGAAGGAATGCTTCTGTATAGCACAGTCAGGTGTAACTTACCAATCTAAAAACTCACATTCTCTCTAAAATGAAGGGAAAAGAGGTTTATAATAAACACATATGCATTTTCAAGCGTAGAGAGTGGTGTAGGGCTACTGTCTTTTTGACCACTCAAGGAAGTTTGTGTTTGTTAGGAAACCTTGTCTGCCTGGTCTTGTATACAGTGTTATGCTGACTGTGCAGCCAGGTGCTCAGTGCCTTTTTCAAACCTATGGATTATCAAGTTTTATTCAGGTATTCAAAAATAAAACTATAATATCACATTCTGATGAATATTTGTATTTTGTTCCTAGCTGTGCTTTTCTGGTATTTGTCCTCTGAAACTCCGTTGATGGGACTTGGGTATATTTGGGTAGAAGCAAATAAGGAGCAGAAGAAATTATTTCAAGCGTGCTCATGTTTTGACTAAAGAGGTGGGATCTTGAATTAAAAGTTATATATTGTGATGCACAGATGTTACCTGTGTGATCTGTAACGTTGGTTGTCTTCTATCCTCAGGAGTTTTTTCATTAATCTTTTGGCATCTTTTTGCCTATTGCATTTGAACGATCAACACGTCTGATGTATATTTAACCTAATGTCTTTAAAAAGGAAGTGCAGTCCCTGTCTGTGTTTTTATATATGTGTACACACATGTGCGTACACACACACACGTATATAAAATCCTCCTGTTTGTATCTGTAGAAATAAAAAAAAATGTCTGTGACAGGATTTCTTTTTATGATACTACTGGTGTGTGACCACAAGTGGACAGCTTTCTCAGGAATTGGTGCTAGGTGCTTAAATAAGGTAGAAATGTAGCATGAACCTGAGCTCCAAGGACAGGGTGTTTGGTTTTAATGAGGCTTATTGAAATCTGGCCAAATGAGCATCTGCTCCTATTGTTTGTTCCATATTTTGTAAGCCAGTATCTTCAGGCCAGATAATGGTGTTGGTGTGTGCTTCATCCTCAATTAGAGAGGGGCACAGTTAAAAATCCCCTGGCATCTGGTATGTCACTAGGATTCTTGTGATGCTCCTGGGTGTGCAAACAAGTTTCTCTTCTGTTCTGCATCCGGGACCATTTACTTTATGTGGTGACCTTCACACTTTCTACTTGCTGTGCAGTGGGGGATGCTCTGATGTGTCTCCAGTCACCTTGGCTGAGCCTTTGCTTGGAGGTTTTTCAAACAGGTCTTACCTTTTCACCCTTTCATAATGTGGGCTACATTGGGTTTGAGTTTTGGTGTTCGCGTGGAGTCCATTAGATTTTGCAGTTCTCTGGATTATGGAAATACCCTTCTGATTCAAAGTGCCTTTTTCTTTCCCAGCAAGAGACTGGTGCACAGCTGATCTCACAGAGTTCTACAGTCAGTACCCATTTCCTGTATTCACTAGATAGCTCTTTACTGTTTATTAATTCCTGCAGTCAGTTGCGTTTGTCTGTATCTGCGATATAAAGAAGTATTCTCAGTTTCATTTTGCGTATTGAATTCTTTCCTACATGTGCCAGAGACAGGCACCCTATGCCATACCTGCCAGAGACAGCACAAAGACACCTTCTAAATGGCATACAACACCCCCGGGTTCTACTTAGTTTTGAACTGAGCAGCAGTTGGGAGAGGTTCTCTGCCTCTATCTGTATCTGAGATAAGTGAAGTTGGAGGCAGCAAAATAGTCAAGCACACCACCCTTGAAAAATTAGGCTGCTGTTTCAAGCTGCTCCTTGTTACCTCCATGTGATAACTGGTTCTGCTTTCTAAGGTCCCGGCAAACCAAGGGACTTCTCAGAGTCTTTTGAGCATGTTGTGTCTTCTAGGGAACCTTTGATTGCTGTTCATCATAGTTTAAAATGTGCATGATTACAGGATTGAACTAGGAATCTAGGAAGGGTTTATACCCTTTATTTTTAGCACTGTGTTTTTATCCTCTGTGGATTTGATGGCTTTTCTTGCTTCTCTTCAGAAAGGGAACTGAATAATATTCTCCTTGCAGAAATGTGAAATCTAACTGTATGATGCTTTTTTTGACCCTTGGATGAAAAGTCCAGCTTAAGCAGGCAGTCATGTTCTGCCTGCTTGGTAAGCTGTTCGTAGCGTACAGGGGGACAGAGCTATGTTCTGTTGAATTCTGAAAACACAGAACAGGGCTTGGCACTTCAGGTACGCTATGTGAAATTTTTTTTCAAAGATGCATTTGACTATAGCTACACATTTTACAATCAAGGGTGATTCAACTAAAGCAAGGAGTGGTGGAAATAATTGAAATCTACCTTCCTTTGTCAGTTCTTTCTGCATCACTACTTCTGAATTTTCAGAATAAAAACAGCCTGCACAATAGAGCTCAAAATTTTTATATGAATTCAAAGGAGAAACTGCGAGTACTCTTTAATAAACAAACGTTTTGGGTTCCAGGCTGAATGTTCCAGTTGGCAGTAGGACAAATTGATCTGAAGAGTGTCCCTCTTGTACTCTCAAGTCCCTTTATGTCAC